CGAAAGCTCCTGGAGGGAATAAATTATTAAATAACATTTTCCCATCAGTGGATTTTGTTTTTGGATGCACTACATGTTCAGGAGAGGTGGAACGAATGTAGCCCCATGCAACAAGTCTGCCAGTATGGTATGTCCCATTAATTAATACTGAGGGGTCGGAGATGGTAATTGTTCTCAAAAGGTCCAGCGTGTGCAGTGAACACACTCCTTAGTGTATAGACTCTGAAGGCGTAAAGGCAAGCGGAAATATGTTTATTTGGTTAGTGTATCAAATGTGTTTATTTCCACTTCATTACATAATTATGGATTCTTAGCAAATGGTTCCATAATGAGTTCTTTCTGCGACACTCTCGTGTCAGGCGTTCAGTTGATGTACCGGTGCTCCTTGTTGTCAGATGACGCTCCTAGCACGTCTGTGTTCAGTTTGGTCGAGTGGCAACTTTGACTGACTGATGCCGTCTTGTAATCATACGTCATGTGCCGCCACTGACATCTGATGCACTGGCGCTGCAGGGCTGGTCTCTAATCCGCACATTTTCCTTGTAGTTTTCCGCGTCAATGCAGCCAGCTCGGGCATGTATTGCTTACATGGCTTTGCCTTTTCCTGTATCATTGACTTTATGGCTGGCAACAATGTTTGTTTGCTATCCAAGCCATTTCACTTCCATTCCTAATGGAATTTCTTCTGCATCCCGCGACCAGAGTCATTCTCCTTCAAAGTTGCAAAATTGTTTGCTTCGTGCTGTGGACACAGATAATTAGTGTCAGCAAATTATGAGGTATTGTCCTTGGACAACCGACACCAAATCAACTGCCCTTGCATTGCCGCTCACCTGCTTTGTCGTGCTTACCTCCCAGGTGAAGGGGATCAGGAGCTTCGGGGTAATGTTGGCACCAGGGACAAAGACCGCCGAAGATAATTCTCAATGCTTCGCGGATGCTCGTCGAGACGTGGTCGAGGGTCGTTCAGCTTCAACCCCTGCAGGCCAATTCATTGGTATGGGTACCTCCAGTAGACATGGCCGGCCTCATGCAATGGTAGCAGAGTGGTTTTCGGTCGACCATAAGCAGCACCTCCGTTTTCCTTGGTGTATTTTGTTCAGCGTGGACCTACACCGGTTCTTCCTGATGTCGGAAATGCTTCGGCGTTGGGGGATCTCGTTGAATTGGTATTGAATAGTAACGGGTAGCTGGTGGCGGTCGTTGTGACTTTGTGGCATAGGTCGGCCTCAGGTCGTCAGATGCCGCTTCGCTCGAATAAGTCTCCAGTTGAAATGCCTATTGAACTTGTTCCGAAACAATCTCGGCAATCCAAATAAAAGCCGGGCAACTGATGGCAGGAAGTAGCTTCCTGATCTCCCCCGTACAACGTTGTGGATGATGTCGCAGATGCCTGGGAGGCTGGCATTGAAGTTGCAGCTGGACGACTCGAGTGTCGAGACGCTGGAGAGTTGTTGATATTGACACGCTCGGGCCTGCAGTGACATTGAATGTTGGAAGCCTCGATGATATGAACCCTTCGACTGCTGTCGTGGGGTTGCAGACAAGGCTGCCGAAAGTGTTGTGCCTCACACGAGGGACAGGGGATTCTTATCTTCTTGTCTTCTGTAGGATCAGCGTTGGCATGGGTGTTCCATCAGGCGCAAAACATCCTCCACGAAGGCGGTGACGCTCTCGTTGGGGCCGTGTCCTAGACAGAATCAGGAATTCGGCTTTCTCTCGCCGATGTTGGCTGATGAACGTGCACTTCAGCTCCATCTTGCAAACTTCCCACAACGTTAAGGAGGATTCGTGGTTCTCAAACCAGTGTCTGGCAGTTTCTTCCACGAGAAGTATAGATTCTGGAGGAGCTGGTTGTCCGTCTACCCACTGTGGCGGGCGACATGGTCATGTTGTTCAATCCAGCCCTCGACGGTTTCATACACCTTGCGTGGAAGGGCATCGGAGTGTGAGGTGCACCGGGAACCGGAGTGTGAGGTGCGACTGGCATGCAAACTGTGGTTGGCGCAGATGCGGTTTGCTGCTACAGGTTTGTCATTGTTGTCTTAGATCAGCTTCGGTTTTTTGGCAAAAGACCGAATTCCGGTGGTTCTTGCTGGTTGCATCGACTGGCTCAGATTTCGGGTTCTTCGCGGTGTATTTCCGAGGTTCGTCCTTGTGGTACTAGTCGTCTTGCGGTTTTTTTGCCGGGCTCGGGACAGGACTTGGTTCACGGCTCGAAGGGGGTTTAAGACACGGGATATTCTGCCACCCGTGTCTTTTTATCTCAGGCAAATCGGCTATGCCGCCTGGGTCAACACAGAGTGAAGGGTTGTGGGTAAAGTGCGCAACACCCCCCCTCCCCTCCCCCGGAACATACGATGACAGCTCAGCATGGCCTGGAACTTTCCAGAATAATAAATATTGATAGAAAATAGGACTGGAGCGAGCATCCATGACGATATAATAAAACGGACAAAAAAGAGTCTATCCTGACCACTAAAGAGGCTGCATTGCTTCAGTGGCATTCTGTCTGAATAAATCCTCTCCCTCGGGGTTTGGCGACTGCCGTGGACGAGCGGAACTGAAATGGATGTGAGACCACTTTTCTGGTAATGAGCCGCTGCAGACTGTCGCCGCAAAGCGGCGTGAACGTGTGGACTGGGTAGGTAACACGCGCGATGAAATATCCATACAGCTTGCAATTCGCGTAACGAGTGTTTATAGAACTTTTGTGTAGATGAAACGTGCGACAGACAAGCGGAATCAATACCAACTGCAACACCTGTGCTCAGTGAAATTGCGTGTGTACGCAAGAACAATTTGGGAAGCAGCACAGTATCACTTAGCACGGCACGGGAATTACAAGCTTCAAGGCAGCTCTCCGGTGCGCCGCATAACCGAAGTGAGCGGTCATTTGAACGAAGCGGCATCACGATTGCACACTGCCAAGCACAACTCACGCAATTTCCGTCGCTAAACTGTGTATCCAAATATATTGCACACGCTTTACTGCAGACCTCGAAGATTGCGATGGTCAACGAGAGCACAAAAACGTCGCCTTAAATTTATCCTAGCGGTATCCGAATCAATCCGAGGTCCGAGCAAGGTAGGGCAGATTGTCTTTTCCGTTACAATATCCCCGTCGATCACCAGTAAAATTCACACCGTTCCTCCGTATTTTACGTTATACCTACGTGAGACACCACGCTGAACTCTGAAGTCACGTTCGACCAGCCTCATGTGACGGCTTCCGCGTCTGAAATCAACTCGCCGAGACGAACGACAATGAACGAAGCATCCGACAAGCTCCGGCCAATGCTCCGGCCAAGCTCCTGCCCAGCTGGAGCCAGCCGCTGCCTGGGCGCTGCCATCTTTTCTGTGACGTCACGTATTTGGTTTGGTCATGTGACGAGTGGTCAAATTTGCGTACAATGGCAGCGGCCTTTGGGGGTCACTTTCGAGTGAAGATTGGAACCCCAGTTTATCGCTCTAAGCCTCTCTACCTTGTTGGTCTCAGGGCTCCACTATCTTGCCCAGTGGGGTGCGCTTAGGCGAGGCCATAATCCGATTATGACGCCTTAGCAAGGCTTCGTAATCAGAATAGGATGCGTCCAAGCGCACGCCAGCGAGGAAGATGGCAGCGCTCTGAAGCCGGACTTGCAAACGTGTATATATGGGACGCAGATGCGCGCGGTTTCGCGGGACTGTGTGCTCGCCTGTGGCTGCAGGTGCCGATGACCTTGGTTCTTAAGATGGGTAGAGCGGTGGATATAGCTGCTCGTGTTGCTGTTTTTTCTGAGGTCAGTAAAGACGGTTAGCTCTTGTTGTTTTCTGTCTGCCTCAGACGAGAGTATAGTCCTCGCTCTAGACAAGAATGTCTTGGCCACCGGCACCTTGTAAGTGGTAGGATGGTTTTAGCCGAACTGGAGACAGCATCCTGCTTGCGTAGGTTTTCTGTACACAAAAACGGTCAGCTCTTCCTCTCGTCGTTTCACCAGCACATCCAGAAAAGACAAAGGGTCATCCTTTTCGTGTTCTACTGTAAACTCCACAGCCGGCTCGATCGAGTTGAGATGAGCCCGGAACTTGACCACTTCAATCTTTTTTAGAAGTCAGAAGCAGTCATCTAAAAACAGGAAGAACACTTTGGGACTTGCCGCAAATGCCTGTACTTCCGTTTGTTCAATGTCTTTTATGCACAGGTTTGCCGTTGTGGCGGAAATAAAGGCACCCATTGGGGTTCTACTGGTCTGCCTAAAGCACTACTTCTTGATGCTGAAGTATGTGCTGTTAAGTCAGAACTCAATGAGACGTCGCACTTCCTCAACGCACAGTCTAATACTCTCCCTCAAGTTCTTGTATCTCTCGAAGTCGTTTTGTGTAGCGGCTAATGCCAGAGGAACCGGAACACCTCAGAAAGGTACGATTACATCGAAAAACACCATGCTCTTTTCAACGTCCATATTTAACTCTGAGACGCGCTTCACGAAGTCGACGGAGTACCGGACGTGGGTCGCCATATTTTTAACGACAAGGGAAAGAATGCGGTGGACGTAGCTTGACAGAGCTGAAAGCGGTGAGTTCTTTATACAGCGGGAGTGTCTGCCAGAACATGACAACATTGTTACCCAGTGGAAATGAGAAATGTAGCCAGTGCATTACGAGTACTTTCCTGGGGTCTTTAACGTGACTCTCGCAGATACATGACCACACCACGGTATGCTACGGACTTCACGATGCCACTAGCCCAGAAAAATAACCATGGTAAAAGAAAAAAAACACGAACATAGTGCTTTTCAAGGACATTGCCACAGTCATTCCTCAAGAAGAGGTGCAGTAGGCATTAAAACGTCGGGTCCCTCACTGTGAGATCGTGAACGATTTTCTAGTGTATAGATTGTCTCATTTTTTTTAAATCCAGAATTAATAATTACATGCAGCTGAAGTTGTATGTTTGCAGAATTGCCTAGAATTACTGATGATCAAGGCATCTTATGGAGTGATAATCTTGTATGCAGACAGTTCTCCTGCCTCAATGAGTCCATTGATGGTACAAAAAGCCAAATTATGACGCCTTCCGAATTTTATGAGAAGAATCCCCTCTGGACTCCATGCGGAACCTCCTACCCGGGGAGTGAAGAGTGCCAGGTGTGTTTTACCAGTTAGAGGCAATATCAGCAAGCCCCGCTTTACCTTGTATGTACGCCACGAGTAAAATTACTGATTAATGCAAAAAATTAGGAAGAGAGAGTGGAGCACAATTGACGTGATTATTAGTGCATCATATTGCAAGAATATACTGAAAAAGTCACAGTACTAGAAGACAAAAGCTTGTAGCGGACGTTTCTTACTATGTGAACCTCAGCCGTCTCAGTTTCGCCAAGTATATAGACCTTGAATGTCTCTTTTATTTTACCCCTTCAGCTTGACGTGTGGCATTGTCGCTGCATACGGCTGGTCTTCCACGTCGACCACCATTACTACGCGTGTCGCCGTCCTAATTTCGTACTAGGAGACGTTAAAATTGACGCGTATTTATCTCTCCGGAAACATGCAACTAAGTGCAAGTGTAAGACAAAAAAGAAAATGAATTGATTTTTCACAACAAAAACGTTAACAGGTTGACATGAAGACAGAAACAGCACCCTCAGCTGCCTTGCTCATGCCTACTTATTATGTACATGTTGCACCATCTGAGAAATAGAGCGAAAGTTACACGTTCCCTGTTTTGCATTCGGTGTCCAATAGTTTTAGCAAAAATAATTTTTTCGACATTAATTTTTTTTTTTTTTATACTTGGCTTTTTTTTTTACTTCGGAATGTTTGTTTTAGTGCTTGTTGAGTTTAGGCTTGCATCAATGTGCAGCATGTTTCTGCGGTCCCAATGAGAGTTTGTTGTCTGCGCTTGGCAGTTCCTTAAATATGTCGGGTTTCGCCTTCTAATAATGAAGAAGATAATTTATTTTACTTTTATTTTAATTTTTACTTCTTGAAAGTTTTCTTTTGAGGAAATTACAAAAAGTGGATGCAGATAAAAAAAATTTAAAACTAAAGAAAAACTTTATTAAAACAAGTATAACACTCACACTCGTAAAGAAACCTGGAAAGTATAAAAATACTCTAAATATTGAAAGTATAATTATATGTAGCAAAATTCAAAAATGTTTAATTTTTTAACACTTAAGGGGTTAAAGTAAAACGATCCATTTGCAGGACTGTTAAATTCTACAGTTATGAATGGCAGAAATGATTTGATATATATGCTTATGAATCCGGATATGAGTTGTAAATGTTCATTGTTGAGGCGGCGAGAAGACCACACGGGAAATGCAGAAATTAACTTCTAGAGATAACGTGTACGGAAGAAGCAAAGACGCTTCTATGCGTGCGTCGTGCTTCGGCAGTAAACACATTAAGGATCCTTTTCGTTGCAGATATAATAGCTGTTTAATCATAATTCGATAGGATATCGCGAGCTGGTTTGTTTTGAACTGCTTCAAGCCCATTATGTAGGAAATTTTGATAAGAATTTACGAATACAGCAGTACATTTTTATTTTTGTCGAATAATGGCTTTGTGTGATATTTGTTTAAGTTTTGAACGAGCGGCACTGATGCAGTTCCGAATGTAGTAGCTAAAAGTCTTTTTTGCGTTCGAAGAAGTTATGATAACATTATTGATTCCTAAAATACCAGCCATTTGGACGACAACAAAATATTTGTAGTTATCGACTTCTTAGATGAGTGGTTCTCAAATGGGGGCCCCGAAGGCATGCTACGGATCCAGGAAGCCCTGCGTCAGTCAAGCCCGGAAAAAAAAGAAGAAAAAAAAGTTTGTTTTTTTTTTGATTGAGAAGAACCGTTCCAACTTCGGGTGTGTTTTCTCACATATATGTCAACTGAGAGAAGTCTACTTCACACTCTTATTTATAGTAAATATTTATTATAATTGACCTTTACATTTGCTTCTCCTCAGCACGAACGGGATCCTCCATCATCTCCGCCGGTACACAAGCGGTCCCGAAACATCAGTGGTTGAGAACCACTGCATTAGATAATCACGTCATCTAACACGCAAAAAAAAAAAAATGCTCTCGTTCGAGAAAAGTTAATTCATTGGCACTTAAAGCTTAGAAGTTATTTAAGCATTGCAACCAGATTCCTTGAATACTCGTTACAAAACTTCTACATAACTCCATGACAAAGTTGGTAGGATTTTCCTTGTTTCTTCTCGCCTCCCAGTATTACAAAACGCACTAACTCAACCGAAGTATCATATTTGGTTCAGCAACCCGTAGTCATTTATTTATTTTTGCCTAAGCTCGCCGCGACCCAACCCCCACCGGGCATGCATCTACTACCCCGGCATTTTATTAGCGAGAGAGCGACACTTGCGTGGCCTAAAGCCCCTCTAAACACAAAAGTAACGACATCTTTTGAAGGTGCCGCCTGCTACCTTGAAGCGATCCTGGTGGCGATACTGTTGACGTGTGATTGCGAAAGAGTAAAAGATAAAGATGAAAGCGTGCGCACGGGGGAGGATGGAAGAGTATTGTCTAAGGTGTCAGAGCGCAGTGGGCGCTAGAAGATCCTGTCGCACATCAAGTAACATCGAAAGCTCAAGGTCAAACTTTTCATAGTATCTTCGTGATCATAATCTTTGCGGTACATCCTATTGAGCCCAAAAGGTACTCTGTGAACAGTGCGATGCACCATGCACATATGTTTGCGTGTTTTGTAGCCTTTGGCAGCGCTCTGACTTAAGTTGAAACCAAGTATATATAAGAAGGCCGCCTGCTCTCTTGGAGCGCAGCAGGCTGCGCTACCGTAGACGCGCGAGTGCGAAAGAGCAAAAAAAAACAAATAAAAAGTGTGCGCGCCAGAGGAGAACGGAGATGTCGCTACCTCTCTTACTCAAGCGCCTTAACGTGGCCAATTGCACTTCGCCACCTCGCGGTAGGAAATTGCCATAGTCGATTTCACGTTCGGGCAACGTGGTCCAACGCTTTGGATCACCAGGTTGCCCACAAGCTTGATGCGTGACCACGTATGGTGCTGGCGGCGAGAAGGGACAGGGCCCATCGAAACGAGGCAGAACCCTTAGCAAAACTGCCAATAGCTGTCATTCTAGCCAGCACCGCAGGAAGTCTGGTAACCAGGAGTGTGTAAAGATTTGGCATTTCCTCTGAATGAACCACTCATGGATTGCGGTAACACATCATCGCGCTGAGAGCGTTGCTTATTAATGTAAATGCCTTCGGCTCTTTACATTCAATCAACAGCGCAAGCTTTCATGTTTGTAGCGATCTCAAAAATAATATATTTTTTACACAGTTTCCTTTTCCCATTTAGACTTTTTATTACTTGAGCACCGCGAGCAGCACCATCAAGTAATGACACTGAGAAACGGTACGCTCAAGTGCCTAGATCTTTTTTGTTTGTGAAAGCATTGTTTTATTTTAAGACAAACGGGAAAAAGCTTATTTGTAAGTTCTTTTGTTATAGATCGATTAAATATTACTGGCATTCGCTTACAGTGATCAATACGGACGTCACAATATATCGGAATAAGAATATTTTTAAATACCTGTAAATGCGACTTTGCAGTGGCTTCCTCAGAATGTTGTGCCCGAACGCAAATACCTTTTAGCGGCAGGTTTAAATATTGCATCGAAGTTTGGTCACGTGACCAGTTGCGTATTGAAAGACTTTGTTGCGACTGAAGTGCAGGTTTTATCTTTAAAAAAAATAACGATTGATTTTTTTTTTAAACACCGTTAAAAAGTGTTTGAAGTCGACTAATTTACCCATTATATTGCACATATATTTTCGACTGGAACAATCTAACAGTCTTTTTCGGAAATTCTGTTTCATTTAGAACCCAGAGTTGACAGCATACAAGCATCAAAATTGCAGCATATCGTGTTGCTTGAAATCACCTCTTTCATTCATTGGTACAACAAATTACACTATTCCTGCTCCAGATGGCGAGAAATGTAACCCAGATAAGGTAAGTAATGCTAGAATACTTTTTGTTTTGTTTTTATAAAAGAGAACTCAAAAGGAAAAAAAGTAATTTATTGAAGGAAAGAAGTTCGAAGAAGTCAATGCGAGCGCAAGTTCACCTGCTTCTTGCTCAGGTGTTGCAATGATGTCAAAACGCCGAGTTCTTATTTGCTGATTAAAGAAGGGCGGGCTGACCCCAAGGCATCTGGCAGTGAGGTATACCCACTATCGTCCCAATCAAAAGTCGGCGTTATTCTGAGGTTAATACAACCCCTGCGAAAGAAGCGGACGACTTGCTGTCCACATTGTTAAAAGCGTAGTGGACATGGAACTAACAAGACACGTTTCTCAAGGCATGCTTCGCTGTAGCTTTACTGATGGGCACAAGCTGCAGATAGGTGTAGTCTTTCACAGCATACGAAAGGCAGGGCGTGACTTGCGAAGCTAAAGGGTTCTCGCTTCGTGATTGGTGCTTCGGCGTTCTTATCGGCTAATGCTGCAATCTCATTGGCTGTGGAGCGAAAACAACATGCTTGGGTCTCGCCACGTCCTGCCTCTCTTAAAGGGACCATGAAATGACTTTTTTACTTTTTCCAGATAACTTTTACATTAAACCGTCAATGTTCACTGAATGCCGAACAGGCATCCGTTTTCGTCTCGGTTTATTAACTTCTACACAAAAAATTAATGAAATATCGACTTTTTCTTGACCGCAAAACAAGCCGTGACGTACGCTGCTTCCGGAACCGGAAGTTCTCTCGGCAGTTGGAGATGGAAGCGTTAGCGGCGACGAGTTGGGGTGTGCCGGTAGGTTTTACTGCGCCGATGTCACCGACGTATTTTCTGAATCGGCGCCTCTCATCGCCGCAGCGCAGCTGAGCGAAATTCAATGAGATACGTTGCGCTACAGAGACAGCATGGGACTAGTCCCATACGCCGTTATGCCTGTTGAGAAGTGCAGCGAGTCTTCCGGTGAAGACTCCAGAAGTTAACCCAACTGTCATTGTTGGTAAAAGGCTGCCAGTGTCAGTCGTTTGCAAAGCGACATGGATGGAAACAAATTGCCGCGGCGTTTTTCGCGGTCTTGGAGATGCAGGAGCGAGCCGACGTTAAAAAAGATACGTTTGAACTACGAGTGTCAGCAAGAGCCACGTAAATACCTGTTCACACTCGGAGCGGACGTGCGCGTTTGATGGAAGTGCTCTATTCGCGCTGTTGGTAAGCGCTTCGGGACCGATCTTTTACGATTGCAACTCGATACTGACGCGACACTCGGCAAAGAAAGGTTGGACCGGTATTGCGCGTATACCTCCCACGAACTGTTACAGCTCGACAGTGACGTGCAGTCTGTCAGAATAAAAATGGCATACCAATAACAAAGTGTGCATACCGTGTTACGAAGGTAATCCATACAGCGTTTATTTCAGCTCTATATCACACAAAACAAGAAGAGAGAATTGACGAGGGTCCCTTTTCGACGAGTGTTCGTCAACCCTGCCTCGGAAAACAAGGGGAAGAGATTGACCTCACCTCTTAACCTAAAATTGAGGTCAGCGATCAAACTATAATACGGGAAGGGTCCACAAGGGTAGCTCGGGCATATTCCATTCAGCACGCCAGCCGGTCGTAGGCAGACAGACGGTCTTGCGACGAAGCAACGCTGCGCCGAGTCGGAGTGCCTGCTAGGCCTATATTCTGACAGCTTCGTAGGAGCGGGATTCGCGGCTGTTGTCGCTCTTCTCGGGTGTTTGTGGATCCAGCGTTCTTGTTCGCCGTGGTTTGTTTTAAGTACATTTTTTTCTTGCTGCTTGAAGTCGGCACGCGCGAGATGAAGACGTAGAAAAATAAACGTTCAGTCAGTCAGAGTTCTGAGAGGAAGGAAACCAAAGGAAATAACCGTTCTGAACTCGGCCCTGCCCTACTGCGCACGCGCAGTGGTTGCTTCGTTTACCACACGATAGATGGCGCTTGGCTCTCAGCATTATCAAATTTGGCAATTTCCGCCACACATCTCTAATTATGCTACAAAATGTGGATCTGAATAATATTTAATAAAACTTTTAGGAAACATTCGCCGGCTATTTATTGTTTACGATCGCGGTGCTGGTGAGGTAGGCTCTTACCCAATAGGCGACCTGGATTTGGCTGACGTGCTCCATTTCCGCGGATGCATCGTAGTGAACAGGCGAAAGAAGGAAGGCGCAAAAGAGTCCAGTTTTCTTTTAAAAGTTCTATAGCAAATAATTTTTTTGGCTCCCTAGTTTTGTGTTTTTGTGTTTCTTTTCACACCTTTTACGACGTGCGGTGGATGAAATTCGATTTTAAAATCATTTCATGGTCCCTTTAAGCTATCGGTGTCTAGTGTTTTACGTAGGCTCATACAATGATGGTCCGGTTATATATGTTATATTTATGTAAAACCATTCAGAAAACCATGATCTTGAAAGTACCTCCCAAGAGCATGGTTTAGATATATAGGAACGCCGCAGCTAATTCTCTTGCAGAGAAACATAATTTTGAAACTTGAGGTGGAGACATTGCGAAGGGAAAGAAGTCTGTGAAACACGTTTTAGAGGTACATTCGCAAATTATTGACGAACCAACTACTATGCCTGGTATTATAACGAAGGATTTAAAAAAAAATACTTAAAAAATAGAATGGTTGAAAAAAAATTTTTTTTTTTTCGAAAACAAATTGCCAGCCACGCTGGACATCAAGTATTGTAAAATCCTTAATAATAATTCTTCCGCGAATGACGACGAACGAGTAGAAAACGTGTCTTTATCACGCTGCCGCCGGCCTCTGCAACGCTAGTAAAACAAAAATTTTCTGCATGCAAGATGGCCGCCCGGAGGCTGCCATCGCGCTGCAGCGAACAAGCGGGGATGCGCGATCCAGCCATTGCCATAGAGGTCGGTGATTCCAGCCCACTGATCTCTATGACAATTGCTGGATCGAGCTTCCCCGCTTCGAGCAATTGGGGGAATTGAAGCCACCGGTCGGCCATCTTACGGGTTCCGCGGAAGCATTGTCAAGGCGGCGGATGTCTCTGGTGTCACGTGACCTACACACGGTAACCATGGTAACCGTCTAGGCTTGACAGCCCTAGAGGATATCCCGACGGTGGCTTCATTTTCGGTCCAGCAATTGTCATAGAGATCAGTGTTCCAGCCAACGTTATTAGAACAACTCAGTTCTGGAACTCCGCTCCGGAGGGGGGTCCCTTTGCGTGGCGCCTGTTGGAGGGCGCGCACTCCGCATTAATACTCGCTATCATCATCATTGACGGCGCGCTTGTGGCCGTTGCATCTGGCCTACTGAGCTTACGGATATTCGTGGCGCTTTTTCTGACAGCAGCAGACGACTTTCAAATTGTTTCTGCTGCAGTTGCTAGTCATCGGAACATCTACTATTACAGTATGTACAAACTTGCCCTCATTGTAGCCACCGGGTTGTGGCGCCGACAAATTCGGGTTGTTCGAAACGCTTCGCGCTGTCAGCACAGCTAAGGCGGCGGCGTTTTGAAATAATACGAAGCGTATGCCATCATAGTCCTACCGCTTATCATCCTCAAGTTGTATTTTTACTGGCGAAAGGGCGAAAGCCAACCGTAAACCATGCTGGTCACCGAGCAGTCGGGTTGGGACTCGCAAACAGTTGCAGCAGTTTGCAGCCGCGAAGCAGTAGCAGACGAAAATGCGCGGATTAATGCGCCGGCAGCGCCACCTAGCTGCAAAAAAAAAAAAAATCGGACACGGTTTCGGACCCTTTTAATGTACAGCGCCTATGGGAAGTTTTACTGAATTGATCTAGTAACGGCGATTCCAGCAGCTGCCGCCCAGCCTCCGCAACTTTCACCCGGCTGATTGTTTGGTGGCATAAGGTGGCCGACTGGTGGCCGGAGTCGTAGAGCTGCAGCGGAGCGGGGAAGCGCGATCCCGCAATTGTCATAGAGATCAGTGGAGCACATTTTTGCGCCCGCTGCCCGCCTCCTCAGTGGCCGAGAAGCGCAACACACGTGCTCCATACGTCCCAATATCCTACGAGGGAGGAGAGGCAGTGGTTTCGCGCCTCGGCCACCGTGGAGCACGAACGCGAGTGCAAAGATTCGCTTCGACAAGAAACCGAAACCTAGAAACGCGTACAAATTAAGCGGTTTCTCGTAAAGTCGTAAAATGCTGCTCCTCCCATGCTTTACATCTTTCTAATATGAGTTGATGAAGTCGTTTTTGATGAGGCTTACCAAGTTTCTCTTTGGAACGATATGTTTATTTTCAAATATTAAAGTTAAATAGTAGAATTTAGTTAATTATTTACCCAATTTGTATCTTTTTTGCTCTATGTGGACCTCCCCCGTGGTTTGCAATTTTTTCCCGAAAAGAGTTTTTTTTTTTCTCAACCGCCCCCTATTTAGAGGTTTTTGAAAGCTTTCGCAGAAACACGCGGTATATAAAACGTCACAAATTATACCATAATTCACATCTTTTAATTTTTATTAGGAATATGCAAAATCCCTGCTTAACCATATTGTAGTTTTGTTTTTAAATAAAGAGACGAGGCTGATCTCTTGGAGTGTGACGAAATTGCACCGTCAATGTTTTAAAAACCCAAAATATTTTTATGTTCAAACACTCCTTATCTGTTTCCAGTGACTTGAACTAACTTGCTATTGCAAAACATTTTGTAACACAGAACCTTCGAAAGCGAAGAGCGGCAAAGAACCTTTATTTGGGGCGAAGCTCCTTAGGGTCCAGCCTTGTCCGTCCGGCGTCCGTGCTTACATTGATCTGCTGGTGCTCGTGCTCGTGATCGTGCTCGTGAGCTCACGTGCTCACGTGCTCATGTGCTCGTATAGGGCAAAAAAATGATGAAAAAATGTTTGCGTAGTCGACAGGATTCGAACCCGTGTGGGGAGATCCCAATGGATTTCTAGTCCATCGCCTTAACCACTCGGCCACGACTGCGGGACGTGTAGGGGGCTCTGAGATGTGGTAGTAAATCAAGAGCTGGGGATGTCATGGATGAAACGTTGCATGTATCCGCTCAACGTCTATACAGGTGAGGGCGCTGCGCCAAAGGCGTATATAATCGCGTTAAACTTTGCATGCATTGGCTCAACGTTTATAGACCAGGGGGCGCTGCGGTCAAATGCTCAAAGGCGTATATAACCACGTTGCATACCACACATTCTCTTTCTGACATGGATGAAAACGCGCGAAAGGCTCGGCATGCTGCGGCTCAGCGTCTACGCAGACAAGCACCACCAGAGCTTCGCCCCAATCAACATCAATCGCCACGTGGAGATGCGGTCATTTTTTTTTAAATTGAGCTATCTTGCCTCCGTTATAGGGGCTTTGCGGCACGAAACTGACCCAATAGATATATTGTCTAGAACCAACAAAGGCTGTGCAGCGGTGCTCTCTATCGTAGGGTGTAGAAAGTGATGCAGTCCCCATGCAGCGCTTAGTTTTTTTGTTTTGTTTTTTTCTTTTTGCGTCCCCTTGTTTTGCCTCCCATAAAAGCCCCCCTCTTTTCTTTCGGGTCTTTTCACCTCGTTAACAGACAAGAGAAATATTATCTTGAGAGGCAGTATCTTGGCGTTCAACATTGTGTGACGTCAAAGAAACAGTGCCAGCTGACCATTCCTAAGTGCCGATGCGTACCGTAGAATGAAATATAGGTAGAAGTGGATAACCACAAGTGTTTTGTTGGGTGTTTCCATGTAAATTTATACAATGTTATTCCGGGTTATATATTCATTGTGTTATATGATATATATACTTTAGAAAGTCATTTCCTTGGGAGAACTCAGGAATACTATAGATACGGGGTACTACACGAAACGCGGGTCAAATCATTCCTTTGATAAATGCGCATCGCAAAGAAGACAGGTTGATACTATAGAATTGCTCTCTGCCAATGGCCCATTTAGAAAGAAAAAGAAAGTGTTCGATATTATTAGGAAAGCAATTACTTTTTGTATTTTACTTTGTAGTTACTAAATTTATAGGTATAATTTCAACCAAAAACTTGCTGGGCATCATCAAAAACTATTAAATTCACACAGATTTCAGAGATATGCGATATGCACAGTTTTTCTTCGGCGCTAAAGAAACATTAAATTTGGTCATGTTGTGTAGGGGGGAAAAGGGGGAGGGGGTGGCTTAGAAGGCAATGCAATGAAAAGCAGAGATAAAACTAAGCTAGAGAAAGCATGACTTTCTGCACTGTATTGACTTTGTCATATCCAGTATTCATTAAACTATAAAAAAACAAAAGTGACGTATTACTTTTTCTTTAAGTGTTTGAGGTAGAATGTACTTTCTAAATTATATTTGCGGTTAAGAATATTAAACAATGATAATTTTTAATTGTTTTCCGTATCAAAAATAGTTTACGAATGAATGTTTTGCATATACTGTAAACGACTAAATTTTCGCGAGGACCTAATTTTCGCGAATTTCGTGAATCGCCTACAATTCGCGAAAAATACGTTTGCGAACGATTCGGACGATATGTGAACGCTACGGAAGCTACACTCGATTTGCGAAAATTTGAACCCGCGAATAATTTCAAATTTCCAGCTTTGCCCCGATTCGCGAAAATTAAGTCGCTTACAGTATATATAAAGGAAATGACGGGCATAAATGACTATACTGGAAAAGAACGGACAACGTCCCGTTCCTTGTTTTCCTTTGTTATAGTTATATCGTTCGTGAAGCCATATAGGACTTGCTTAGTTATAGAAAATTGCTGTCTTACCTAAATATTTCGATGCTACTTTGCTGCTACTGGTTGCCAAACCTTATGGCTCGCGCTTTCGTTTTCGGAATAGTGATGGCCATGCAAACAAATTAAGTATCTATTGTAAATGAATACATTCGTTAGAGTTGAAGGTTACATTTACGCTCAACTTTCTTTTTCACCGTCAAATCTTGAGATAATAAATATAAAAAAAACGGTAAATAACACCGATTTCTCAGTGTTTGTTCAACATAGATGAAACGCGAGAATATATCTATGTTCTGTTGCACTCATCATAATTATCGTTTAATCCGATTGTGTAGGCGTGAGATATTGCGCTACTTCGTCTTTTAAATTTGTTTAAAACCCTCATTCACTTCTCGGATGATCTTAGCTTTGTTAGTCGTTAAAACGGCTTGGTAATATGGATTTTCAAATAAAAGGCTGTGTTAAGAAATGCAGTGAAAGTATCGTATGTAAGCGTTATGCAAAATTAATCAGAACGTGACTAGAGTTAAACAAAATAGCTGTCTATTGAATACTGTATTTAGCTAAAGGCTTCAATTATAGCTCAGAAGCATCAGGAAGTAATAGGATCACAAGTTGAATACAATAAGTATAAGAAAAAAGATTCCATTTATTTAACTTAGGCCAATTCATGAACGTCATCTAACATAAAGCTAATGAGATATGTAAACAATTACGTTATAGCCACGCATATTGCATTTTTACCTGGTCTTATGCTTTTGACCTTAATGAAAGTCTTCTCTTTAATATTACAGATTTGCATTGGAGGTGCCTGCTTGACGACCAACGCAATGTTAGATGAACATCCTCCTAAACGCTGACGCGACGCTGCAACAACATTGCAATATTTTTTCTCCCCAAGATTAAAAATAGTGCACATATTCCTATCTTTTGTGTCATCATTTTAAAATAAAAAAATAACGCCTCCTTAATAAACAACTTTTAGAATACAGGAGAAACTGCTAGTTTACATAACATAACCAATATGGAAATAACATTAAAAAGCAGGATGATTGTAAATTGCCCTAATTTGTTGTAGTATTGATCAAAAAGATCTGAGCAAATTTTTAGTCAATTAAATGGCCATATAAATATACACCTATTAAATATGTTCAATACAAACAAACAAAAGTAAAACGAATTTACCAAAAGTAGAATGGACAATGAGCTTATTTCTAGATGCTTAGCTTGTATCGCGTACAATTCTTTAAAATGAAGACCCGGTATGCATCGCCGAACTTCTTTTGCACATCATTGAGAAAGCGAAATAACATTAACCCCATTTCCCGAATGGTTACTGGATGCGTGGGCTCTAAAATAACCTAACATTCAAAATTTCACTAAAATAACAATCAATAAACCTGGGATTTGATGAACGCAAACATTCGAAAATTAAGCCTAGAGCATATCGCCATATCAATTCACTAGTAGGAAACGTATTATTTAATTAGGAACTGCTATAGAGGAACATTTCCGTAAAATAGATAGACTTGACTTAGCATAAAAAACAAAGAAGTTAAAGACCCACCTACGAAACCATTTTCCGCAAGTTAAGAAAATGCCCCTCACGCCCTCCACTTTACACCCTCTCTCAAAAGTCACGTGACGGCAGGCTTTTCCTGTAAAGATAATCCTTAAAAATGCGCGAAATGAACGGCTAGCTGCGAATGCCACAACGACCTTGAGAGCGAGCCGGAACTGCCGAGTGCGGGGGCTAGGCCGACGACTGCGAAAGGGCCGGGAGGGAAGCTAAGACAGTTGGCTGCTTTGTAACTTGCATTACAAAGCAGCCAACTGTCAAGCGAGCCTTGCGGAGAAGCGCACTACCAGTTCAGCCTACTCATGCCGACGCTCCTTGAAGGGAGAGAGGGAAGCGCTGCGGCTTCAGTGGTGTTGGCGGGACCGTCATGACGTCACTCGGTACGTCACGTATGACGTCACGAAGGTCCAGCGCGGTGCGTTATGGGACATTTCCCATGATGCACCGGGCGACGTCACGTGACCCTCGTGACGCGAGTCCCGCGCGCATTGTGAGACATTACCCATAATGCACCGCGCGGGGGGGAGGAGGAAGGGGAGGAGGAAGAGGGGGAGGGGAGGAGGAGGGGAGGAGAATGAGGAGGCGTGTCGTGCTACAACAGAAAAAATGGAGCAGAAGAGGAAAACGTCGAGGGAGCAGGCCGGAGGAGAAGGGGGCGAAAAAGAGGAAGAAGAGTTCTTGTTCGGCGGTAACCAGACCAGGTGGAAGCACACCCGGCAACGTCCCGAGGGTGCTACTGTCGGGTGAAACATCAGCTTGGCGGTGTGCAACCAAAGCGGCAACATCCGGCATGAACGAGGCATTCGGCAGCGATCCGAAGTAGCCGCTGGTGGGAAAGATTATCGACTTCGGCGGTGTCCCGGAGCAGAACATCCCAGACCAGCCTCAAGGAACACCCAAGGAACATCACTGGGAACGACTTCGGCGGTGTCCCGGAGCAGAGCATCCCAGTCCATCAACAAGGAACAACCATCACCAACAACCAAGCGCTGCTGAAAACAAGACAGCACCAAGACCTTCAGCAACACAATAACGGACTGAAAGTGAGACAATTTCTGACCTGTATATTTGTGTATAGCTAGAACGTTTCTTATTTTTTGTTAATTTTTTTTTTAATATATATATATCTTGATCAAACCTCACGGTGTGACTGAATTCCTCCTTCGGCGGTTTGACCTGAACCTATAACATCACAATTTGGCGAGCTTGCCAGGATACAAACCGCAGAGTGAGGAAAACCAGTTGTACCGGTGAACAGTTCCCAACAAGTTTGAAATAGATTTTGAAAAGATAATGGCTTTGGGAAGCTCCCTCGGACTAACAAAAGAGGAAGCGTTGCATCTTCTGGAGGAGGAAAGAAAGCGTGAGATAGAGGAGAGAGTGCACGCTAGAGAAGATTCCAAACTAGAACATGAGAGGGAACAGCAGAAGGCTGAGAGGGAGAGGGAGGACGCCAGACTGAAAGCGGCACATGAGATTGCTATGATAGAGCTTAAGATCAAGCTCGCGGAACCGGAACGCGCCAGTGGAGCGACAACAGACGGAGGGAGCGAAGGTCAGTCAAGAGGACGAGCGTGCTTGAAGAAATTGATGCCGCCCTTTGACGAGAAACGCGATGACTTAGATGCCTACCTGCATAGATTTTAGAGGATTGCGGTAGGACAAGGATGGGCGAAGGAGGAATGGGCGACGTCCCTTAGTCTTTGCCTGGTGGGTGAAGCTTTAACCGCATTCGGGAGGATGACAGCAGCTGACTCCCTAGACTATGAGAAGGTTAAGATCACCTTGCTCCAACGATTCAGACTAACTGCAGACGGTTTTAGAGAAAAGTTCAGACGAAGCAAGCCGGAGGAGGCAGAAACTGGACGACAATTCTGTACCAGATTGAGTAATTATTTTGATAGGTGGCTCGAAATGGCGCAGACAGAGAAGACGTTCGAGGCAGTGAGGGACAAAGTGATTGCCGAACAGTTCCTTAGTTGCTGTCACCCTAAGCTGGCCATTTTTCTAAAAGAACGTAACGTGAACGCAGCGCAAGAAATGGCAGAGCTAGCTGACCAGTACCTGGAAGCCCAGGGAAAATGCAATCTGGGTGCTATGAAAGATGGGGGTTGTACAACAGTGAGACCAGACGGCGAGAACAGTAAGGGTACTGGACAAACGGGAGGAGCCCGAAGACCATCGCCTAGATTCTTTCTGTGCAGTAAGGTTGGGCATAAGGCAAGTGACTGCAGAAGCGGATATAGACAAAATCAGGCAGGAGTACGATGCTGGGAGTGCGGCAAAATGGGGCACAAAGCTGGACAGTGCGCCAATCACTCACAGAACAAAGCAGCGTGTGTCCTGGATAAAAGAAAGAAGGCATTAAAGAGGGACAACAAAGAACAGCAGGGCGCGATAACAAATACAAGATTTGAACATGTTACTGTCGCTGACTTAGTACACAATATCGACATAGTGATGCCGGTGGTCGAAGGGAGGTTACATTATATTAAGATATCAGTGCTTAGGGATAGTGGAACCAACACAGTGCTAGTAAGAAAGAGACTGGTAAGAAGTGAGGAGTTCACAGGGACGTCCACTGGGGTTATCCTGGTTGACGGCACCATGAGGGTTATGCCTGAAGCGATAATCAACATAGATACACCTTATTACACGGGGGAAGTACGTGCCAAATGCGTAGAAGAACCGCTGTATGACCTCATACTGGGTAAGATCCGAGGGGCTAGAAAAGTGGACTGCCTGGATCCAGGGTGGGGCACAAGTACGAAGAAAATACGTCACCAGGGAGATGAAGTGTTTGGCGAAACGCCGTCTAATTCATTGAACAGCGTTACATCACATGCTGAGAACTACTGCAAGAAATCGGGGAAAAGAAGGCGTTTAATGCAGAGCAGATTCATAACGAGGTGTCATTTGCAGCAGGAGCAAAAAGAACGGGCAAAAGTGAAGAGAAACAATTGCCCCAGCTCAAGGCGCCGGTTATAGAGCTGCTAGAAGTCACAGCTCTTCAATTAACGGGGCAGCAAAAGTCGGATGAGAGTCTGCACAGGTGTTTTAGAAGTCTGAATAAACGAGTGCGGAAATGGAGATGTGACGTAACAACGGAATACGTCGTGAAGGATGATTTGTTGTTCCGTCGAGTCGAATTCAGCGACGGGGACGTGAGACACCAACTCATTGTACCAACGGTATTTAGAAAGACTGTAATGGAATTGGCTCACGATGGAATAATGTCGGGCCATCAGGGGGTAAAGAGCACGGTCGCTAGGGTAGCGGAAGAATTCTTTTGGCCTGGTATGCAAGGTGACGTGAAACGTTACATACGGTCTTGTGATGTGTGCCAACGCACTATACGAAAAGGCACCGTGAAAAAAGCCCCAATGATGAGTGTGCCCATAATTGAAGAACCCTTCCACCGGGTAGCGATAGATATCATTGGACCAATAACCCCGAAGTCCAGAAAGGGAAACCGATATATCTTGACAATGGTTGATGTAGCCACGAGGTACCCGGACGCTGTGGCATTGAAAGCCATTGATACCCCGCAGGTGGCAGAAGCCCTAGTCGAGATGTTCTCCCGCTACGGAGTACCTAAGGAGATTCTGAGTGATCGAGGTACGAACTTCACTTCCAATCTTATGAAAGAGATAGGACGGCTATTATCCTTTCGGCAGTTGTTAACTACGCCATACCATCCAATGTGTAATGGGCTCGTAGAGAGATTTAATGGTACCATCAAGCAAATGATGAAGAGAATGAGCCAAGAACGACCCACGGACAGGGATAGGTATATCCCAGCACTCCTCTTTGCCTATAGAGGAGTACCACAAGCGTCGCTAGGATTCGCACCATTTGAGATGTTGTACGGGCGAAATGTGAGAGGTCCTTTGACCATCCTTAAGGAGCTGTGGTCCAATCAAAGCTTAAACCAGGAGTTAAAAACATCATACGGATGCGTGATCGAACTCAAGGACAAACTGAAGAAAACATGTGAAGTGGCGCATGAGATCATGGCAGAGGCGCAAACAAAACAGAAAAGGTTCTACGACCGGAAGAGCCAGGCTCGAAGGTTCGAGCCAGGCGACAGAGTGCTCATACTGCTACCCAGTGACCACAACAAACTAATTATGCAGTGGAAGGGACCGTACGAAGTTGCGAGGCGAAAAGGCGATTTAAACTAGGAACTGCTGGTTGGCGACAAAAGAAAAACGTTTCACATAAACATGTTACAAAAATATGTAGGTCGCGAAACTAAGAATGAAAGTTGTGGGGTGATGG